TGCCCCCACATGTCATTAGCTTCAACCAACACATACGCCAATTTCTCCATCCTTTTTTATGTCTATTCATTCGGAAAGAGGAGCCGTGCTTTAGGATTTCAATGGTTTTGAGAGGTGAAGGAGGAAGTATAGGGGACTGAACGGGGAGGGAGGATCGAGGTAGGTGGTTGCGGGCGGTGAAAGGAAACGGAGAAGTTTGGTGAGACATTCGATGCGTTATGCGGTACTGGAATTTCCCTTTTTTTCTAAAAGGGCACTAACTAGAAAAGTGACATCTCTCGTCAACAGAAGTGACCACAAAGCTGCCAGTGGTTCTGGTTATCTTGGTGCTCGAGGCAACCAGGATGTTTTTGATGACTTTTGTTGGTTTAGACTAATGTAGCAAATTCGGGTCCACTGCAGAGCAACTAAAGTCAGGATTGCTCGTGACCAATAAATTTTACCGTTCCATAACAAAAACGTGTTCATCTTTAGCCTTTGTGTCTGGATTGCGAGGGATCGGGATTGTTTTTTGAGTCTGACGTCCCAAACAAGGAGGTAAATGGTCATGTGGTTTGGATATTCTGGGTGGGATTAACGGTAGGCTGATTTGAATCCTGTCCAGGTTGGAACAAAAGCTTGCCTTCACCATTCTTCCTCTTCTTGAGGAACAAAGGCGCTGTCACACCGTTATCCTCGATTTATCTGCGATGAGTAAAGCGGTGTTGCTTTCCCGCGTTCAGCATGTCAGTTGTTAAGCGGTCACCAGCCTGATTCCATGATGTGGACGTTAAACGAACAAGGTCGGGCTTGAGCCCAGATGGACGATAAATATTCAGAGAGAATTACAACTGCCGTTTTTCAGCTAATTATGCGTTCTTGCATATGTGCAAATGCAAAAACACATATTGTAACGACTTTGGCATGTGTGCTTGTATGTATGTGTGTGTGTGCGTACGTGCGCGTGTTGGTGCTTGTCCGTCCGGGTATTTCAACTTGGCAACCAAGCAAGCTTCGGCGTTAGAATTTTGCCACTGAGTTCCCGGCCAAGTGCCCTTCCAAGACCACGGTGCACGTGAAAGTTTTGGCAAGAACGAAGTTTTTTAAGGGCGTCTTCCCAGCCCACAAGAACAACTTTGTGCATGGTATTCATGTACGTCCTCGTGGAAATTTTGGAGGGTATTTTGCTAACTCTGGACCAGGAAGTCTAGAAAGCTGAAATTTTGACTAAATGTTCTCTGTCCAAGTACCACGTTATTGCACAATTGGCTTCGTGGATTTTGAGGACCAGTACGTCACAGATTCTAGCTAGTGGGATTCCAAGCGATCTTACTACAACACGAAATACTGCAGAAGCGCATGATCGCGCGGGTCCGCATGGTGAAATACTGCAGAAACGCAAAAACTGCATAAAGAGGATGCTTCGGTCCATCAAGTTTTAGATATCCCTGTTCAGCACCACAACTGGACCCGTTAGTACGAAGTCTAGAAATTGTAGTAGATATATAGAAGCAGCTGAGATTTAGATATTTTGGTGCATTAAGTTGCATGCATCTTAACGGAGCACCACAACCAGACCTCGTCAGTACAAAGGCTGTGTAAATGTAATTTGAGGCTAAATGCGAAAAGAGAGGAAATATGGATTTTGCCGTACTACAAATTTATGTGCAACGACATTGTCTAAATGCGCTTCTGTTCGAATTCTGACTTGATTACAGGCTGCTAACACACATGGGTTTTGATTTGGCCGGTATTGGATTTTTAATAACGTGTGTGTGAGCAGTCCGG